CACAACTAAGCTGGGTAATCTTGAGGACCCTGTAAATGCCAAGGAGAGGGATGTATTCCCACAGTATGTTCCAGATGTGCCCCAGTATTTGAAACATATCATTAAATCAGCTATATTTAAAACAACGTACAGTGTGACAGTTTTCAAATATGTAATTGCATGATGTGACAGATACTAAGCACTAAGTAATCACAAAGGCCATTTTCATAACACACTAATCCAAAAAGAATATTTGAAATACACTAGCTTATCAGTTGCTTCTTCATGAAAACGGACAGTGGAAGAAATTAGAAGTTTCCATACACATTAGTTTTTATTTGCATTACACACATATCTTACAATACATGCTATATAAACACACTGTGAATATGGGAATAAGATTTTTAATTTTTCCACTTAAGATACTAGTGAAGAAAAATCTATACAGCATAACTTTCTTCTAGATGCTGGATATCTGCAAAATTGTTAATATCCATTTGTCATTTAAGATTTAATAGCTCCAAAGGAGCCATCGCAATGTGTAATATGCAAGCATTAACAAATAATTTGCAAGATGCATCAACAGTATTTGTTTTATGCTGTCAAAATAGAGCTTATATATTACCTTTTATAATGCCATGACACTGTAGAAAGTTTTAAATCTTTATAGAGATATATATATATATATTATTTTTCAAACCCCTCTGAAGTATAATTTTATTGCAGCAAATGATAGTATGTCAAAGATTAAGTTAAAGCAAACTACTTTCACTTGCTCCAAACCATCCAAAGCCGATGGCTTTCCATCTCATTGTAAGGTCACAATCCACTCATTCTCATTACATTTCTGCCTTCAACTTCTGCTCCTCTCCCCTTTCGCCACTCACTGGCTTTCTTGTATACCTGAAGGACATCTGGAATATTCCAGATTTAGAACATTTGCATTTTCATTCCCTCTGTCTGGAATACTTTTCCCCAGACAGCTACATGGCTTGCTGGATAGCTACCTTATTTATTGAAATGTCACTTTCTCAGGGCTTTTATGGTTTCCTCTGTGTTTAAAAATGCAGTCCCCATACACACAGCCTATTCTTCCCTTCCCTGATTTAGTTTTTCTCCTCGCCATTATCACTGGCTAACTATATATATATATATGTATTCTTTTAATTTTGCTTATTATCTGTTTTCTTTTCTCCACTAGAATGTAAGAATGTAAGCTGCAAAAATTTATGAATGCTTTTTTTTGCTGTGGTTTCCATGGTGCCTAGATCTGTACTGGTCATATAGTAAGTAGGTACATGATAATATTTGTTGAATGAATGAGTGGACTATAAAACAAATATAAAGATATAATGTACAGGGTTTTGATGATGAAATGTGTGTGCTGAGATGGCTGGAACTAGAGTTTAGGGTCAAGAAGTCATCAGGACCCAAATGTTAGAGATTCATCAGCATTAACAAATTGGTTAGTCTTTTTAAAGTTATTGACAGAGACCATAATGGGTGATCATTTTGTTTTACTTGCTTAATTAATGTTTGCCTTTATTAATGTATTTTGTATATATAAAAAGGGGTTTATGATATTTAAAGGAAGGTCAGATTAGAATGCTGTTCCATCAAAAGTTAAAGAAAGAGAGGTCTGGAACAGTACTACAGTACAAGGCTCTTGGTAAGGATTTGTTTTAAAAAAAAAAGAGAAAGAGAAAAAGAGAAAGGAACAAAGAAGGAAGGAAGGGAGGGAGGGAGGGAAAGAAAGAAGAGAGGAAAGAGGGAGGGAGGAAAAAGTAAGTGGTGTCAAACATTTGAGAATTCTATGCCATAGACTTATTGTAACAGAAAAGTGATAGAAGTAACCTAAGTCAATTAACGAATTTTTAATTAGGTGAAGGTAAATCTGAAGGTCTGGATATACATGACAATCAGTTTGTTTTCAGAATCATGTCAGAAAGTGACAGAATAACCAAAATATATTGTAGCTTTTCTTGCTGTATCAGAGGAGCTAAAGGAAGGCAGTTCTGATCAGGCCAAAGATAAAACTGGAAAAACAATTATCTATAGAAAATGACTACAGGGGACACCATAACTGAACTTCTTTTAATCAGTTTAAGAACAGCAAGCTGGGAAGTCTTCATAGAGAGGCATGTTGTAACAGACGAAGGGAAATTCTGGCTCAGAGGAGTGAAGTGGCCTGTCCACAGTCTCTAAGGATAGTCTCAGCAGAACTTGAACCAAAGTGATTTTTAAAAGTTCCTAGATTAAGTATTTGTATTCTGTTTATTTTAATTAATTCATTCTTCTATTCAGCTAATATTTTTGAAGACCTGCTATATGTCACTTACCATCCTAAACACATTGCATATAGCATTGAAACAATCCCTGCTTTCTTCCCTTCTAATGGTGGGAGACAGACATTTAAAAATAATTTAAATGTGCCCTAAGATAGAGATAAACGTTATGGAGAAAAGCAAAGCTGGGCAGGTAGATGGAGAGCATCTGTGGTGGGGTGGAACTCGGGAAGGAAAGGTTGTCCCTGGAGCTCAGATCTGGGGAAAGAGTGGGCTTGAGGAAAGATGGCTCTAGATGCAGGAAAGAGCAAGTGCGAGTCTCCAAGGAGGCAGAGCCAAAGGAGCAAGGGGGAGACTAGTAGGGCGGCAAGGAAGAGCCGGGTCTCGGAGGGCCTTTCACTATTCTAAGAACTCGACTTTGTCTGTGAACGAGACCGGGTGTCATGTGAGGACCCTGAGCTGTGTCAAAATCTGACTTGTGCTCGAAAACCTCAGCCTGGTTGATGTGTTGAAGGTAGGCGTGAGGGTGCAAGGGTGGAAAGAGGGGACTGGTTAGAGGTTACTGTGGGATGCAGGCGAGCTTGGGGCTTCAACCAGAGCAGTGGCGGGGGGTGGGGTGAGGAGTGCCCAGATTCGGAATAATTATTGAAGGTAGAGCAGGTGGGGGTCACTGACAGGCTGCAGGAGGAGGTGGAAGAAAGGGAAGAGTTGAGGGCGACTCCAAGGCTTTTGTCCTAGAACTGGACCAGTGGAGTTGCCATTTCCTGAAATAGGAAGACCTCAGGAGGGGCAAGTTCAGGACATCTCTCATCTCTCTTAATCTAAAGCTCTCTGTCTCTCTGTCTGTCTCTCTCCTGTGTGTGTGTCTCTCTCTCTTCCTTTGTAATTTATCACTCACCTGTTGAAAAACTAGATTGTATGATATATACAGTTTTCCACAGCATGGATTTTGCTGTTTCCCTTTGGTGACATTTAACGTGTTCCCCTTTCCCCTGTATTTTCTAGAAATTGGCAGGTAGGTCTGTAAGCTTGGTGAAATTCACCTCTGAGTTTTGTCTGCACCCCTCCACAGGTAGTGCTGTGTACTTGCCCGCCCCTCCTGATCCCCAGGACACACATCTCCTCCGGTTTTACTTGTTATATTAGCGACCATGAGTAATCCTACTTAGATCCTACTAACTTGTTAGAAGTTAAAACATTTATCATTTAGCCTTCATTTATGAGCTGAAATATTTCCATAAAGAAAGTATTTAGTTACAGTACACTTCATATAGCTAAGGTAGACTAAATCCTGGATTCTTTGCCTCTATTTACCAATATTCAAAGTGATGAGTTAGTTACCTAGCATCTTCCAAAATTAGACATTTTTTTTTTTTTGTACAAACTCATGGAGTTAAATATACTTGCTGTATTTTAATTCATTGCAGGAAATTCTTATTGATGTTAATTAAAATCATCCTTCTTTGGCCCTGGGGTTTTTTGAACCACTCTCTGTCTCCAGTAGTTTGTTTCTGAAGTGACAATATGTTCCAGGCTCCTCTTATCCATTTCCAGCCCTGAATCAGCCATTTCTCTGGGAGCTTAGTTTTCTCTTAATGGAAAATGGTATTGAGTAATGACAGTCTGGTGCCACAGGTTGGTCCTTGTTTGGGAACTTTTCAATATTCAATGATGAGTTAGTTACCTAGCATCTTCCAAAATTAGACATTTTTTTTTTTTTTTACAAACTCATGGAGTTAAATATACTTGCTGTATTTTAATTCATTGCAGGAAATTCTTATTGATGTTAATTAAAATCATCCTTCTTTGGCCCTGGGGTTTTTTGAACCACTCTCTGTCTCCAGTAGTTTGTTTCTGAAGTGACAATATGTTCCAGGCTCCTCTTATCCATTTCCAGCCCTGAATCAGCCATTTCTCTGGGAGCTTAGTTTTCTCTTAATGGAAAATGGTATTGAGTAATGACAGTCTGGTGCCACAGGTTGGTCCTTGTTTGGGAACTTTTTCAGTGGACAGAGCTAAGACATATATCTACATTTTTAAAAAGATAACGTCATCCTGGGTTCATAGTGATGCTTCTAATTCAAATGCAGAACTATATAGGATTTTAACTTAATCTCATCAATCTTATATATGCTTCTCCTTTTCACATATTGAAATTTTCAGGGTCCAAAACACCAAGATAATTACTTATTTGCATCATCCCACATATGTAGAGCATTTCAATAACAGAGCATGCAGTGTCTAATTATAACTGAAAGGTCAGGGTGAAAAGAATATTTGTTGACAAGATGAGTATGCATATTCTGATTAGAGCAAACGGCATGTACGAAGATCCAGAGGCTTGAGAGCACGTAGTTCATTTAGGAAGGAGCAAATACTGTTCTGCAGAAGGAGTGAGGGATTACACAGTTGGGAAGGCTTTGGAACACAATGGGCCTCACATTCAATGCTGCAGATATTAGAGCATCAACCAGATTCTCAGGCTATTTGGTTTCATCTTCAGGAGGTATCTTGCGTTTGTTTTTAATAAAAAAATATTACTTTTCTACTCTGTCTATATAAGCAGAACTTAAGTGTGAGAAAGGGTAGGGGTTACTTTAAGTATTACTATCCTTTGCTCTGTTCTACAGCAGTTCAGGGAAAACACCAGTGAAATTATAGCTCACTTATTTTCTGACATTTGAAGATGCATTTGCATACTAATGACCCATTGTCGTGGCATTTTTCTCCCCACAGAGGACAAAGTATGGACCATAGTGTCTCATGATTTGCAGATGCAGACGACGGTGGTGGGCTACAACCCAGAAAAATACTCGGTGACACAGCTCATTTACAGCGCCTCCATGGACCAGATCAGCGCCATCACCAACAGCGCGGAGTATTGTGAGCAGTACATCTCCTATTTCTGCAAGATGTCCAGGTTGTTGAACACCCCAGGTAGGCTGAGAATGGAATGTTACTTTTAATTACTATCTCAGCTGGTGATTGGAATTACCTAGACAGTCCAACAGGTGTGGCTTATTATCTTAACAGTCCAGTCTTCAAAGTACCGGCAGCTGTGAAAGTAAAATATAACCACTTGTTTTTTCTTTCTGGAGACGGAAGCTAAGAAATACCAGAAATATCAGAAAAATTCCATTGTTTCTAACTTGGCGATTTAAAAATTTTCTATGCATATACGTGTGTGTGTGAGTGCTTCTAGTGCGTGATTATCAGTATTTGCTTTGGGCAAAAGTTTTATCAAAGCTCCTTGTGAACTTTCAAGTAATTCCCTTTGAGTTCTTCAGTTGTCTCTAACATAGAGATGAAAGAATTCTGAAGGCTGTCTGCAGGTAAACAGCATATAGAATAGCGATAGAATTTAGAGCTGTTTGTTGTCTGTAGTCATTTAACAGTATCTGTTGGTCTCAAGAAGTATGCCCTTTTTTTTTCATGATGGCTTACTTTTAGCAGTGCTTCAGGACTTGTGTGTGTGTGTGTTGGGGGTAAAGAAGATAGAGTTTACAAAGGGTATATTGGAAGTATCTTTACCACAAGAGCCATATACTCTGGGATTCTTGGCAGTAAATACATTATGTTGACAGCAAACTAAATCTCTTCATCTATAGTATAACATAGAAGTAAAGCATGTGCTTTGAGTCAGAGAAACACATGTTCACACTTTTCAGCCTTGCTGCTTCTCGGGTATGTGACTTTGGGGGAGTTCATTGAACTTCTCTGCCTCAGTTTCCAGTGTCTTCCAGTCAAAGAGGGATCATAATGCCTATTTCAAGGTGATTGTGAGAATTTGATCAGGGAATATACTAAGTGCCTGTTATAAGTCTTGATGCACTTAAGGACTTAATAAAGAGGAAATAGTATATTGATGATTTTTTTATTATTAAACAACTTTGGAAGTGGCATTATGTCAGAGACCAAGGGACTGCTTGATACCCCAAATTAGTGTTGTATTGGGGCCAGTGTTGTAGGGAGTCACAGAGAAGAGTTATAAGCAGGACAGTCTATAATGTTTTGAAGATTTAAGTGCTTTTATGTGCAAAGCCTTGTGCTAAAATTACAGACAAGTATAACCTATGGACTCTAAGAAAGTAAAATCTGTAAAATATGAAAATGATTGGTTCAGACAATTATGCTTTTGCTATTTGGAGAAAGAAGACATGACTGTGGCTGGGATGTTGAAGTGATGCTTCATTAAAGAGGTCGAAAGACAGTTCGAGGTTGGTGAGAGTAAACAAGAGTCTGGAGGACAGACTACGAATGATCTTTCAGGCCACGGTGAGGAGTAGTCTAGCAGAAGCAGAGTTCGTGTCAAACAACAGTAAGAAATAAGGCTGGAAAGTACAAACGGGAGAAACTGTGGAGGAAATTAAATGCAATGCTGAGCATTTTCCCTGGAGGCCCGTGCTTCTCAGGCTTTAGTGTGCATGCGAATAACCCGGAGGGATTAATGAGACACAAACTGCTGGGCTTCGTTCCCTGAATTTCTGATTCAATAGGTCTGAGGTGGGGCTCCAGAATTTTCATTTGTAACGAGTGTTTTGGACTGAATTGTGTCCCCCACAATTCACACGTTGAAGTCCTAATCCCTCATGTGACCGTATTTGAGACAGGGCTTTTAGGAGATAATTAAGGTTAAATGAGGCTATAAGGTTAGATTCCTAATCTGACTGAATTGGTGGTTTATAAAAAGAGGAAGAGTCAGAAAGAGCACTCTCACCAGAAACCAAACTGGCCAGTACCTTGATCTTGGATTTACAGCCTCCGGAACTGTAAGAAAAGAATGTCTGTTGTTTAAGCCACTCAGCCGATGGTATTTTGCTGCGGCAGCCTGAGTGTGCTATAGTGCAGTGAGTTCCCGGGTGAGACCACTGTGAGAACCATAGCTGTGGGCAGTGGAAATCCCTGAAGGTCTCTAGAACTGTTCTTCTATCCCCCTTCACTTATTTCAGACTTTTATTTTATTTTTACTGGATCCTGTTTCCAGTGCTAAGAAAAGTCAACCAACGATTATAGAAAATCCGGACCACTAGGCACAATTAATGAACCCCATCAGCTTGTCTGCCCTCAGTTTCATGCGTGAGTGCTCCCTGTGGAAGTTCCTTCCAAAGATTCCAGTCCATCAGTCTCCAGTCCTGGAGGGGATGGTGTGAGGGAAAACTGCTGATCAGAAAAATAACTTGGTACCATCAGCTTTGTTTTCTTTATTTTCTTCCATTCTTCTATTAAACTCCAAAGTCAACTTTTACTGTTTGAATTTTTGCTCTCGTGGTTAAAAAACACAATGCAACCTCCAAATAAGTTTATCTTACAGTTCAGGCACCAGGAGAATTAGGCTAGAGGTAAGAGAAACAATTTGCTTTTAGCGATTCTGGTGTTGTAGTTCATTCCTTCCCTTCCCTCATTGGTACACTCTGTGCCTTCCCCCATCCACCAAGAAGCCTCACACACTTATTACCCTCCTTTTGGAAACCCAGGATGTCCAAAGCCATCAGGAAACAGGATAAATTTGTTTTAAAAATACTTGCATTACGTTTTCTCATAATAAGCTAAACACACTTCTCTTCAACCTCCAGACACCTTTTCAGAGGAAGAACTACTAAATTGAAATCAAGAGTGAATTGTTAATCTGTACAGTAAGCACACTATTTTCTTTGTGTTTGCAGACATTTGCAGGTTATTATTATACTTACTAAACTGTGCATTGAAAATCATGTTATCATATGCTTCTTGCCTTTGGGGACACCCTCCATGTATCAAATTTTTACTCACATAGGATCGGACTTAATAAATGTTTGCTGACTGGAATGAAATGACAGATATATTGTTTTAAATATTTTCTCATTCAACCTTCAGTCAGTTGTTTTTAAACAGTGTGTACGTCAGAATTTTCAGGTTGCTCGTCACAATGCTGATTCCGTGATTCTGACTCGGGAGAACTTGGTTGGGGCACAGGAATGTTTGCTTTTAACAAACATCCATGCATCATTCTGTGAACCGTACACTGAAAAATACCATCCTTAATTTATGGCATGAGGCCTCTCATCTTGGATTTTAAGGCATCAGTCCTCTGTGTGGGAGAAGATTAAAGGGAATATTAGAACTTGTCTGACCAACTGAAATAAAATGGCATACATAACTACCTGTTCCTCCAGCTAAAATAAATTGGCATAGTGGTATTTTAAAAATCCTTTTCGTAGACTATTGTAAAGTGAATTTCAGCCTACTCTTCTTAGTCATTTTTCATATCCCAATTTCTATTTTCAGGGTTAATTAATCTGTAGACAGCTGAGGCAAGGAAAAGGAGTGGTTGATATAGCAAGTTTTCCTGTATTACTGTATTCTGCATATGTCCAAGTATGAAAGAATACAATTTAATACAAATCTTTAATTTGCTATTTTAAGGAGCTCATGTTTTCTGTAATTGGTTTTTTCCCTCCTTCCTGGTAACATTCCATTTTAAATATCCATTTACTCATTCTTAACTAAGGCTGAATTATATTGGAACTTCTGTAGTAGTACTTGTGAAATCTGTTTGAATACAAAGTATATTCATTATAGTCATGGCAATTAAAATGAATATCAATCGCTTCTCGGCCTTTTGGCTAAGATCAAGTGTAAAATGAATATCAAATGAGTTTGTAATAGCTATGTACTTAAAATGTTATTCTTTGTTTTAAGAGCCTTACCCTCAAGAGTTCATTTGGGGCTCTATAGTTGCTAATGATACTTATGATAAAGAGTTGATTTTACATGTATATGGACCTCATTTTTATTTTGATAAATCTTTAGTTGTACCACACCATTAGCTAACAAATGTAGATTTACTCATTAATGGTTTCTCACAACTTTTTTTTTTTTTTTTTTGGAATTATTATATGTGATCTTTATTTATTTATTTTTTTTAAACATCTTTATTGGGGTATAATTGCTTTACAATGGTGTGTTAGTTTCTGCTTTATAACAGAGTGAGTCAGTTATACATATACATATGTTCCCATATCTCTTCCCTCTTTGTCTCCCTCCCTCCCCCCCTCCCTATCCCACCCCTCCAGACAGCCACAAAGAACCGAACCGAGCCGGTTTCCCTGTGCCATGCGGCTGCTTCCCACTGGCTATCTACCTTACGTTTGTTAGTATATATATGTCCATGTCTCTCTCTCGCCCTAACACACCTCACCCTTCCCCCTCCCCATATCCTCAAGTCTGTTCTCCAGTAGGTCTCTGTCTTTATTCCTGTTTTACCCCTAGGTTCTTCATAACATTTTTTTTTTTCAAATTCCATATATATGTGTTAGCATACGGTATTTGTCCTTCTCTTTCTGACTTACTTCACTCTGTATGACAGACTCTAGATCTATCCACCTCATTACAAATAGCTCAATTTCGTTTCTTTTTATGGCTGAGTAATATTCCATTGTATATATGTGCCACATCTTCTTTATCCATTCATCCGACGACGGGCACTTAGGTTGTTTCCATCTCCGGGCTATTGTAAATAGAGCTGCAATGAACATTTTGGTACATGACTCTTTCTGAATTCTGGTTTCCTCAGGGTATATACCTAGTAGTGGGATTGCTGGGTCATATGGTAGTTCTATTTGTAGTTTTTTAAGGAACCTCCATACTGTTCTCCATAGTGGCTGAACCAATTCACATTCCCACCAGCAGTGCAAGAGTGTTCCCTTTTCTCCACACCCTCTCCAGCATTTATTGTTTCTAGATTTTTTGATGATGGCCATTCTGACTGGTGTGAGATGATATCTCATTGTAGTTTTGATTTGCATTTCTCTAATGATTAATGATGTTGAGCATTCTTTCATGTGTTTGTTGGCAGTCTGTATATCTTCTTTGGAGAAATGTCTATTTAGGTCTTCTGCCCATTTTTGGATTGGGTTGTTTATTTTTTTGTTATTGAGCTGCATGAGCTGCCTGTAAAT